CATTAGCACCCCAAGGAGCTGAGCAGGAAGCCTCATTGTGAGAAGGTGACCTAAGGAGTCCTGATCAGTCAAGGCAAAGGTAGACCTGAGCTTTTAACTCAGACTCAAAGGGAAGATCCTCTCTAGGGGACAATATGCAAATCCCCTGGTGGGTGCAGTGGGGTAGAAAAGTTTGATGGGGGCTACATATTATACCCCAGAGAATACAGTGTTGGCCCACCAGATGACATCAAATTCTGCCAGTTGTGAGTGGAGCCCAGGGTAGAAAAGGGCTCTGCAGCAGGTCCAGGTTGCAGTGCAAATAGCCCTGCCCCTTAGGCCAGTGCAGATACAGATGACTTGAACAATGCTGTCAACCATCTGGACAAGGTTGATGCTTGGAGAACACACCACCAAACCACAACAGATTCCATGGCCTTTTCAAAATATTTGCTAATGATACATTATATTTTTGGCCACAAGATATTTCAATAAAATTAAGCTGATTAAATAATAGAAAATAAATTATTCGTAACTGAGGGAATTGTGTTAGAAATCAGAAACAGAAAGTTATCAGAAGACAGTTGGTGGGGGAGGGAGGAAGGATGAAAAATTACCTCTTGGGCACAAGGTACACTATTTGGGTGATGGGTAACTAAATCCCAGAGTTCACTACTATACAATTTATCACTGTAACCAAAAAACGCTCTTACCCATAAAGCCACAGACATACAAAAATTATTCTTTATAAAATTTGTCAATAGGATTCCAAATATTCTGATACTAAGTAAAGTACTACTAAATATATTTTGGGGCAAAGAAACAACCAAACTGTTTCCAGTTACAAAGTATTTTGAGCTGAAAGTAAACATCACATATCCAAATTTATGAGATGCAAAAAAGTATTAATTTATAGGAATATGAATGCATTTCAGCAAGGAAGTTTTCACATCAATCACAGGAAATGTAATTCTGAGAACTGGGAAAAACAGAACAAATGATATTCAAAAAAAGGGTCTGTCTTTTATTCTTCTAAATGTGAGGATGTGACAAGCACACATCTAGTATTCTACTATTAGAATCATATCAGTCTCCAGATGAAAACATCATTAGCAGCTTCACAAGAAGAAAGTCTTAGAGTGGACGGGCAGAGTGAGTAACTGCTCAGAGAGGGTGAGGAGTCATGGAAAGTCAAAATAGGAATCCTTTGTAATATTATTATGAGCTGCACACACATGAGACTATTGGGAGTGCTCACTTGCTCATAAGCCAAATATCATGCAGTGCAGGCTGCTTCCCATCCTCCTGTTGGTTGGTGAGAGTGGGGTCACTTGGCAAATGCATGGAGAAGTGCCGTGAAGGTTATCAACGGCAGCTGATGACAGAACACTAGGGTTCCCTTACATTGACGTGACTGACTGTCCCTGCAGCCATGAGGACAGACGGCAACTTTAGTGGCTGCTCCAAGAACCATGTGGCAGCCAAGAGAGTCTGTGGGCTTGAGTGTCCTAAGCGTGGAAAAAAGAGGAGGCCCTGTAAGGCATCCTTGAGGACCCTGGCCCTGTTCACATAGAAGACGAGCCTGTGACTGTGACTGATGCCTCATGGCCTCTTCCTTCCTCAACGGCTTTCCAGTCACCTACCTCAGCCCACCTGACTCCCACTGCTGAACACCCATCCCCCGGCACCACAGCTGCTCCTGCCACACTGAGAGGCTGAACTTTCTTTGAGGTTTGTGCTTGGGGCCATTACCCTGTGCAGGGTCCCAGTGAGAGTCCTGTTCATGGGAAGATGTACAGCATCTCCAGGCTCCAAGGTGGTGTTTGTGATGGTGAAATCCCTAGAATTTGCTAGATGTGTTTTCTCTCTTGTGAATGCGTTCTGTAGACCTGCCATTCTTTGTTTTACAAACTCTTTTCTGTAACTATCTATTTTTGTTGTTGGACATTTGGATGAGCCTGAGATGGCTTAAATAACAGAAATAGTATTTATAATAGGAATCGGAATAAAGAACATTGAGCTACAAATATATCCTGTTGGGTGCCATGGTGTAGGACTATGTTGTAACCCAATTCAAGGAAGCTAAAAATAATGAAAAACATGTCAGGAGCTGATAAACAAAATAGCCATTTTAGAAAAGAACATAACCAGCATGAGCATTCTGAAAAATACACTATAGGAATTTCGTAATGCAATCGCAAGTATTAATAGCACAATAGACCAAGGGGGGAAAAGAATCTCAGAGCTTGAATACCAACTTTATAAGGTAAGTACTCTTATCTAAAAATAAATAAATAAATAAAGTTACATTTCATGATACATCATGTGGTTAAAACCTCAGGATGGCCCTTGAAATCTGTAGAAATCCATTTCACAGTTGAGAAGTTCATTCATCAGAGGGCATGAGTAGTTTGCACAAAGTCAAATGGTCAGCAAATGTTGGAACTGGGATTTGGATCTAGGTGTGTAAATTAAGTCTGTTCCTTCCATGTGGGCAAGTCCAGTCCTCAGATGATCCCTTTGCCTATAAAATGAGAGAACAGACAAAACCCACATGCCGTGAAATTCACAAGTCTCTGCTGCCCATGCCACATATCATGTGACTCTAACATTAAAATCAGCCCCTTCTGCAGTTTCTTCTACAAAATGCAACTTTCTCCAAGACTTTAAATCTCTGAACAGCTTTATTTCAGACTTGGGGCAGGGTCACATCTTTTCTTGTCCTGACCCCTTCCTCCTCTCTTCTATCCATTTCCATCTCTGACTCCATCCATCCCTGTTTCTTCCTAATTAGAGTGTGTCCTGCAAACCTAATTTGTCCTCCTACTATTAAACCCCACCCTCCCATGAGCAATTGGATTTGACCCCTAGGCTCCCAGATACCCACCATGTGCAAAACTTAATCAAGGGGTTTACTCAGGAGATTTTCTCTCTAAGCGGAATTCTGGTGGTAGATCTCCTTACAGTAAACTGTGCTGTCTCTTGTCCAAACTAAACCAAAGGCTAACAGAGGCTAAACAAAGCCTAACAAATTGAAGAAGTTTGGGAGATCAGGGGGAAACACCCCCTCAGAGATGCAAATGACATTTTTTTCACCTTGTGTGAATTTCCTGTAGCTGAAATCACCACGTCCTTACTGGCTTGAAACAACGTGAAGATATTCTTGCACAATTCTGGAAGGTAGAAATCTCACACAGGTCTCATTGGACCAAAATCAGGCTTTCCTGTGGACACCTTGGGGAAGAGCAGGTTTTCTTGCCCGATGTTGCTGTCTCTCCTTGGGCCCTGGTCATTTCCTCACATCACTCAGCCTCTCCCTCCATAGTCGCATGTCCTCTCCAAATCTGACCCTTCTGCCTCCCCCTTATAGGATAATTATGATTACACAGAGCCCACAATATACTCCAAGATAGTCTTACCATCTCAAGAATCATTACATGTGCCCAAAGTCACATGGTCAGCAAGTGACATCATCATATCGCCAAGTTCCTTTTGCCATATTATCTAATTTTGTGGTTCCAGAGAGTAGGACATACACATCTTTTTATTGGGGGGAAAGTACTTTACTCAGACTACCAATCCTCCTAATTATCGCCCCTGCCCTTCCCTAAGGAAGAATCCAAGTCACATGACTGGAAGAAGGAGAGAACAGGGCCTAGCCATCAGCTTTTTTTTTTTTTTTTCAATTTTTTGTTTTTTCTTTTTTCAAAATGGGTCTTAAAGCATAGCCATCAGCTTTATAAAGCGAGAGCTGGAGGGATCTGAGTCAGGGCCGGCTGATCTGGGGTTTCCTGGGCTGGAGGATTCTCTGCTACTGCTGCTCTAATGTGGACCGCACAGTGTGGAGCTCTTTGTTTGTTAGAGACTCCTCTAATTTTGTGACCCAGAAGAAAGGAATTGCTACTTAACCAGAATCTATGAGAGACTGGTAAAATAAAATTAAATGTTTTTTTACATTTTCTGAATTTCTCTACTCATTATAAGAGGAGAAGCAGCAACAATTTGACAACAGATGCCTCCACTAATGAGGATTTGCTTATAGTCTTAGGTTGAGTTCTAACGACAAAGATTTCCTTGTAAGCACATTAATTACAAGTTGCAGGAAACCCTGAGACTGAAGACACAAAGTGAGGCAGGGAAGAGATGATGGATGGTGAAAGGCCTGACAGGAAGCAACTACCCATGAGGGCCACAAGAGCTGAAGCCCACATGGAAACACAAGAGAATGCCTCTGGGCTATTCCAACTGAGAGCTGAGGGAGCTGGGGTATTTATACACCTCACCCAATCTCACTGATTGAAGGCTGTTCTAGGGAATGCTCATTTCAGGTCCTGAAGTCTATCATACTTGCAGTCAGAGCTGCTTCCTCAGCTTCAGAGACAACATGGCCATGGGGTGTCGGCAGAAGTAGAGTGAATGAAAAAGGTTATGGGTAAAGATGAAGACTGCAACATTCATGAAGAAAAGGTGAAGTTGTTAAATCTGAAACAGGTGCATATGATAGTTCTCTCTGGCATAACATACTGGCTGGTCAGTTGTAAGCAAATGCTATAGAATTCAGGCAGGTCTTCCAGGCAGAGCATCAGCAGCCCCACATTGGGGCTTCTCAGACATGTCTTAAACCACATGATTGGCAATTATACCTTCTGTGGCAGATGCACTGTGAATTCTAGGGGAGGCCCAGATTATTCTTCTGTTCTAGTATTTGCATCTTTGACTACCATGCCCCAAAGCCTTTTATACGTTGTCATTTAGACTACCATTTCCTGTATTTAGAAAAAAATTCTACTTGAAATTCCAAGAGTGACTTCGTTTTTTAAGATATTAATTGAAACTCACATCATAACCCAGAATCCTCTGGTGTAATAACCTCTTCTTAATGAAATCAGGACAGGCTTTTCCATGTTTGTGCTGCCGGGGAT